TCATTGCTAGGGATGAATGAAGCAGCTCCTTTGAAAATCAACCCAAATCTTTCAAAAGGTGTTAAAAAAACTTCAGGTAATTTCATTTTCTCTCTCCCTTCTGCTACTTCTCAGGTACTTCTACAAGTTCCGGCACCTGAAATATCATCATAATTGATTTTTCTAGACAAAGGAAGTGCTTACAGCTAATTATCTAAACTTAAGTACAGCATTTGGTACAGCGCCATGTGGGAAATTATTACCTAAAAGGGGAGATAAAGACAGAAATGAAAAAGTGAATAAGAATGTGATGGTAGGAGGAGATCAGTACTGAGAGAAGGTAGTAAGGCTTCTCAAACACCAGTCTTGGGCCTAGTAATATTTAACATTTTTAATTAATGATGATCCCATAAAAAAATAAGTGTGTGCTAATGGAATTTACCAGTGGCATAAGGGAGGCAGGCACTGTCACTGCAAAGACGAATAACACTCTCATTTAGGAAGAACTGAGTGACCTTGAGAGCAGGATAAATTAGACAAAATTCAGAAGGATTTGACTGCCAGTTCATGCATCTGGGTTTTGTTAATCAGGTTGCTACTATACCTGCATGCTCATAGGTAAGAAAATACTAAGGAAGGGAATGCACAGGCCATACAAATCTGGCTATTTTCGCCAGGGTAATGAAACACCTGTAATGGTGTATGAGGCAAGAGTTAGAAATCAGCCAGGATGGTGCTCACTATCCACAAATTATTTGCTTCAGTTTTGGGAAACTATGGAAAAAAGATGATTAGGGTGACCATGGAAAGGAGAGCCTGCAGTGCAGAGGAATTTGGCAAAATGAATGCTGAGGGAGGCCTCTATAAATACCGCATGGGCATAAGCTCTAGGAAGAGAAAACATCTATTTAAACTGAAGGACAACATTGGCACAAGAACAAATGAGCATAAATTGGTCATGAATAAATTTAGGATAGGAACTGGAAGCAGGTTTCCAAACAACAGAATAGCAATGTTCTGCAATTGCTTTCCAGTGAGAGCAGTGGAAACAACAACAAATCCCAAGCTACTTTTAAGATGGACTTAAATGAGTTTCTGAAGGGTATTACATGATGTGTTTGCCTAAGATAGCAGAGAAGTAGACTTGATGACCCAAGAGGTCTATGCAGTCCTATCTGTCTGAGCCTGTTTTTCATGACCAAATATTTCAGAGCACTTATAACTACTTCCTTTCCTTCATGTATTTTTTAGATAATTTTTTATAGCATATTGCAGGGATTGCTAGCTGGACTGATTTAGAAGAGTGGTGTCCAAAATATGCTGAATACTCTCCAAACAAAACAAGTGTGCATTGTCTTACAGGGCAGTGCTTGGATGCTTAAAGAAATCACCATTTTCTGTGGAAGGTGGTGGGGACATAATCCCAACAGGAGCAGCATCCCTTTGAGCCTCAATTCTCTCTCATTTCCCTGTGCTCCCAACCTGCTGCTCTATTTTGCCTTCTCAGCCCCATGGCACACAGGCAGCAGTGTGAAATAGGATGGCAAACAATGCTTTAGAGCCACAAGAATAAATGGATGAAACCTGGAGCAGTCAGTATAAGTCTGACTGGATGCCAAACTGCAGTGAAGATGGCTTGTTTGGGGGCATTCCTCCAGCCTCACTAGTGTGGTACAGAGCTGTGTTAGCATGTCATGATTTATCTTCTTTCAGCCCAAGAAGCTCCTGTATCTTTTGGTTTAGTTTATCCAGCTTGGTGCTGTTATGGTCTGGTTTTACAGTTATTAGAAAAGCCTCTGCCCGAATTAAGGCGCAAATGAGACCATATGCCAAAGTCAACAGTATGGATTTTACTTAATAGTAAATAGTAAATATGAGAGAGAGATGAGAGAGAGAGAGAGAGAGAGAGAGAGAGTGAAAGGAAGAGAAAGAAAAGAGGGGGAGGGAACAAGAGAAAGACAGTGACAGAGACAGAATAAAGACAATTTCCAAAGACTCCATGATCCAAAGACTCCATGGATCAGAATGATGTTCTGTTGATCCTTTCCAGATGGTCTTCTTGGTGGTGAGGGTCCCCTGAAAAGCACAGTATCCAATGGAATAATATATGCTCAGGCCAGGTGGGAATGCCCAGGTACCTCCCCCCAGGGTGGGGGGCAGTTTGGTGGAGTCTTGCAACAGACTCTGGGTCTGTTACATCACTTTGTGTCACTTGCAGTGTTGTGGTGCAAAGCCTCAGGAATGAGTCTGGGGAGCACTCTGGGGGGGTCTTTGATGGATTATGACACCCCCTCAGCCGCCTCCCATGTGGATGTTCCATGCATGTGGCCTGTGGGGTTGGGGATTTCAGAGCTGGGCCTATTTGTGTAAAGGAGGATGGATGTTCAGTGCCTCTGACCTGAGGTTATGCCATGCACAAAAAACCTCCTCCTCCCACCCTCAGTTGTGGGAGGGTCTGTGTAAACCTGGCCTCTGTAGGCTGTGGTCTTCCCCACCCCAATCATGGCCAGAGGTGATTCTCAGCATAGCTGCTGGGCTTGGATTTCTTGTGGCCGCATTCTTCTCCCTCACCCTGAGATTACTGACCAACAGTGTCCCCTTTATCTTACCTACGTGTCTTAACTCAGGGTCCAAAGTTCCAGTCAGGCATCTTCAGGGAGGGGTGGGCTTCTGTGCTTGTGGCTTCTTTATAGTTTTTGCTATAATGGGCAAAAGCCCTTCGTGACAATGTTTAAGACATGAACCATTTCAGTCCCTGGTAGATGCCTCAGTTTTACTGTCCCTTGTTCCCAAACACAGCATTTCCATGATTTCTTAAAAGCTGCAATTCCCTAGCCATTGGGGGGGGATTTGTATGGAAGCCTGGGGTTGAGATTCAGCAGCTGGACTTCATAGATTTCTTAACCAGACTAGCAAAGTTGTGTGTTTACAGCTGTTTTACAGTAATAGATGCTTCTTCATCCAAGTGCTGGACAATGAAGGTTGGCTGGGTAAGGTAGTGACTCCACATTAGGAGAGGATGTCACAGTGAAAAGTTTTATGATTTACTTTAGTTGAAATCTGATGAGTGGGACAATGAAATCTGCAGAATTAAATGATTCTGTCTGGTTTTCCTCTCCAGCTAATTACACACACACCTTTTCTGAAATCAGCTATTAATACTGAGAATAGGTTAAGAAATGGGAAAGTTGGATGAAATCCCCAAAAGCACAGGTAGTTTGGAAAATGAAAAGAAATAGGCAGCTGCTTTACAGCTTGTTGCCATCCACATTAATCAGATTTGCAGTCGGCAGCAACTACTTTATGTGCAAATACCTTAACAACTGGTTTAAAAAACCGAGCAGGATGTGTTAGTCCCCAGGTTCACGTAAAGGGGGTAATAAATACCTGCATAATGAGATAGAAAGGCCATAAACTCGGTGGTGGGAGTTTTTGGTCTCTCTTCAGCTGAGGTTTCTGCAGCTTTCTCAGCCTCTCAGTGCCAGCCAGGGAGGCAGTCACTTGCCAGGGTCTCCCTGTGGGGAAGGAAGCTCTTGGTCTCCAAACGCTGCAGCTTTGCCACCAGTGACTTTGTGCAGTACCACATGCACGAGGTACCCTGTGACTCTCACATCAGAAATGCCCATCCCTCAAAAGGAAAAACTAAAGCTAGTTTGAAAAAGATATTTCCAAGGAAAAACTATATTGAAGATCAAAAAGTAAAGACATGCACTGTGAAATTGTTGAGAGAAAAAACACTGGGATTGATTGAAGGTTAAAAAGAGCAGCCATCATTTTTGCTATTTTTTAATTTCATTTTTGTTCCTTAACTGTGTGTATCTTAAAAGCTATTTTTTCACCTATCCTTAACTTCAACAAGGACACAGCATCTGTGAGCAGCTGGATGAGATTATTTAATTCTGTCCTGTCCTGCTAGTAAACTCAATTTAAAAGCAATCAATCATAACCACAACCCATACTTACTGCTATATTTTACTGACTTCTTGCTCATGCACACAGGTGTGGGAAGGTGGATCTTGGAGAGAGGGTGGCAGCCTCATGCCAGGGATGAATTTAGCCCTGAGCTTGCTGCAGCCCCATGGTGGCCATAACTACAGGGAAACACACTCACTTTTTCCATGGCTGGAAATATCTGTGGGGCACACTGACAGTTTGTTTGCAAACAGCTGTGCATGTGCATGTGGCAGCATTCTGTTGACAAGTATACTGAGGAATTGTCTTCAGCCACAGCAGGGAAAAGAAATGGCTCTTTCAGACATGGCTCAGGATTTTGGATGCCAGATCATGCCCCACATGAAGGCAGCATTGGCAGCGATGGCATCCAGGAAGATGTGAGTTGTGTGTGCCAAAGTTGTTGCCTGCCTCCAAGTAGGAGTAATGACCACCCCAACATTAGCAGTGATTGAACAGCAGCAAAGGCTTTGAAAACAACCCCTGCTGAGGTGAATCAGCTGGGGCTGGTGTCTGGGGCACTGGAGCAGCTGGTGTGGAGCAGGGGCTGTGCATGCACCCGCAGCCTGAGGTGCGTGCTCTGGTGGGACAGTGACAGTGAGGTCAGCTGACTTCCTCTAGTCTCATCCCTGGGGACTTTAAAAACAAGAGGTTAAAAAAAAAAATCCCTCCTTGGAGTAGTAATCGGGTTAACAGCAGAAGAGGGACGAGCCCGGCACAGCCGCTGACAGCAGTGCCCTGGTCCTGCCCTCCCGGTCCCAGCCAGGGCAGGCACTGGCCCCCTGGCCATTGTGGGCCTCACCAGGCCCAGCCCTGCTGAGCAGGAGCCACATGGCCAGAGTGGATGTGAAATGACACCTCTGCAGGAGAGCTGTGAGGGTGCGAGGATGTTATAGCCTATGTAAAAGGAAGACAGAAAGGGGCATAGGAAAAAAAAAAAAAAAAACTTCACAAAAATTCTGTGTTCGTTCCTCACTCTTCCCTCAGTGCTGTCTCACCCTGTGCAGAGGCTTCAGAGGTGTGAACACATCCTGTTTACATCTGCCACCCAGACGGGAGGCTGAGGGAGCACACGGCTGAGGCACAGGAGGAAGCGCCAGGCGCGGGAGAGCAGCTGCAGCGGGACGGGCCCTGCCATGGACACAGTGCCCGTCTACCACGGGGCCATCACCCGAGAGGCTGGGGAGAAGCTGCTGCTGGCGGCGGGCACGGACGGCAGCTACCTACTGCGGGACAGCGAGAGCATCCCGGGGGTCTACTGCCTCTGCGTGCTGTGAGTGCGGGCCGGGGCAGTGGGGCTGACCGGGGCAGCGGGCCAGGAGAGAGGGCCAGGAGAGCGGGGCTGGCTGGGGCTGGCCGGGGCTGGCCGGGGCAGCGGGCCTGCCAGGGCTGCTTAGGCGGCAGCTGATTGCGGACAGTCCCCTCCACAATACGGGGTGTCTCCACAACAAAACATGTTCTAGTGTTACCATGTGCTTATGTGAGTGACTTTTGTCTCCTTCACCTTGACTTAAGATAGAGGGGCGCAGTAAGTGGTGTGGGGTCCCTTGCAAAGCAAAGAAGAGCAGGTTTTGCCTTGCAGAGCCCGCGCTTCCCACAGACAAAAGACCACGAAGAGAAAGCAGGCAGGCACATGGGAAGGATAAGCAAAGTGCCATGGAGAAATGCCAGGCGACTTGGCTCAGGATGGTGTGTACTGCCTCTTTGTGCTGGAGAACCCTCTTGCTTTCTGCCTGTGTTCTTCTGCTTCCCTAGTGTGCCCATGGTGTGCTCAGCGGCGTCCCCAGTGACCCTGTCACTGGGAAAGGTAACACCGAGTGCTGCCATCCACAACGTGCCTTTGTTCAGGATGCTCTCAGTCCCACAAGCTTGTGGCTTGTCCCACAGGCCACGAGGCTTGGAGCAAACTGCGTGTAATGCACATGAAATTCTGATGGTAACAAACTAGGTGGTAATGTTTCATCAAATAGGGTGAAAAGGGAGAGATCTGATGGGATAGTCTGTCAGAGAGAGAGAGTAAAGGTTCCCCTGGGAGAGCTAGGGGAGTTTATATTCATAGGACCTCATTTTAATGAGGAAACTTAATTACCCTACTGTTGGCAAAATTCTTGGAAGTCCTGGTGACACTGTACTGTTGCATCAGAAGAATGAAGATGACATTAATGCCATACTTCAGTAGGAGAAGGAACTCTAGAGAAAACCGTTTTAGGTTCAGTATGAAATCAGCTTACATAAGGAACTCAGGTACCTGGCAAAAAAAAACCCCGAAAAAACAAAAAAAAACAACAAAAAAAATCCACAAGGGGAAGAAGGGTCCTAAGTCAGGTTTTCCCCAAATCTCTGGAATACATTTCTGACAATATGTAATTAAGCTCTGCGTGAGCATCATTATGTTCCTGTTATAGACCAGTAAATGAAAACACGCAAGAAGGTTGCAGACAATCCAGAAATACACAACACTCTTCTCAGGGAAAGTCCTTGTGGCAGAAAAATGTATTTTTTCTTCTCTCATGAAATCAGGTGAACCAAGTTAGGTGCTCCTGCTAACAAATACCTTAACAGTGAGCTGAAAAATGGGAAATAATAAGCACCTTGAGTTAAATGAAAATGGAATGGACATAGCAAGAGGTAAGGAGTGCTATGATTCCTGTGATGGGAATAGGCAATAAAAGCAGAATCTCTTTAAAATAACTATCAGAGGAAATAGGGATATACCACCCTTACACTCAGAAGTCATTCAGTGCAGGTGAAACACTAAGGCATTAGAGAAAGGGTCAGGAAGAGTGTTACAATGCTGAATAAGACAGAGAATACTAGAATTAGTCCACCATCAGTCTAAATCAGGATGCAGGTATGTGACAAGGTCTTTCAGTTGTACACTATCAGCTGAGATTTTTTTGTATATTGATAGTAATTTATGCCCTTTGAAAGAAATTTCATTAATGAAATAAAATATAGAATATGAAAATAGGAAGAAATTAAAGCTTTTCTAGCTGTGAAGCTCTGCAATCTTTGGAGGAAACGATACTTCAGTAAGAAACAGACCAAATTGCTTCTAAAATTGTGGGCCATACATGTCTCCATGGTATGTTGCATTGAAACATATGTATGATAAACAAAAGGGTAAAAGCAAAAAACCAAAAATTAATGGTGAGTGTTCTGCAGGCTCAGAACATAGATCCTTAATGCTTATTCTATAAAGGAAATTTGAAATAGCATCTTGGATAAATCCAGATGAAATTTAAATGAAGATGTTATGATGAGTATGAACTGATACAGAAAGAAAGGTGGCTGAAGAATGGCAGAATTAAGCCTTGGTTCCAGTACTTCTTAATAGTTAATTCAAATAATTACGTAAGAAATAGCAGATATGGCAAACAGCATGTCACACAATAACTTGGAGACAGTTTTTATACCAGGAAAGTATCCCACACTGAGATAGCAATGACAGTTTGAAGAAATGTGGATATAAATTAGGGAAGAGCTTTGACAGGCAAAGTTTGCCAAAGCAGAGCACTTTAGTGGAGAGACTGGAAGAGCAGGAGAGGAAGGTGTGAGAGGTGGAGATCCACATTCGATGGAGAATGCTAAGCCTGGCTTTGTCAAAGAAGCCAGTGAACATAACCTGTCCAAATTCCAGCCTGAACATCTTGGACAGAGATGGAACAGGTGACAAACCTGCAAGTGCAGGGCAGCCCTGGTAAAAACTGAGGGAAGTGTGCAGTTGCTGTTTTTACTCTGTAAGAAAAAGAAAATTAAAGAAAGAATAAGTATTTCTCTGCTTTTAAAAATACTTCATTCTAAATCATGGAAATTATTAGGAATGTCAAAGTTATTCAGCAGTTTACGTTATGGTTCAGAATCTATGCTGAAGATCACTATAAGAATATATAGACATACGAAGATAAGACAAAAGGTGAATTTACGAGAAGTAATGATCTTTGAAGCATGGCAAATAAAGCTGGTCAGCCATAAGATATACTGCAATAAGTATCAGAGCTAAACAAAATGTTTTTCTTGTTTCCAATGGAAATTTCTACCAGGAGTGTATGTTTTATACTGCCGGTAGCATTTCTATTGCCCTTAGAAATCAAAAAGAGAAAAATAGTCCAGTTTTCCAAAATCAACACATGTTCAGTCTGTCTTCTTTGCCCTCTCCCTCCACTTCCCTGGGGAAATAAAACAAACCAAAACAAACATAAAGTCCTACAGCTTCTAACCCTTTTTAGGGTTTCTTTTTCCACCACAGAGGAATTACAAGGCAAAATTCTGATGAGGGGAAAAGAAATATTTATCAAAAGAGCAATTAAGTGTATATTTGGGTGACAGTGGTGTCATCTGCTTGAATTCACAGTAGTGGCTGCTTTGCACTTCCAGCTCCAGGTACTGTAATTGTCAAGCCCTGTGATTTCACTGCATTGCTTATGCTCAATGTCTCCTTTTCCCAAGAAACTGCATAAATTTGTAATGCCACGATCACCACCACCTCCCCCTCAAGCACCTCCAAAAAGCCTTGACATATTTTGGCAGGCTTTGAGCTTCTTAAGGCACACAATGAGGACTGCAGTGTTCATGGTCAGGCTCATTCACCTTTTGCTTTTCCAATTAAAAAGCAGAGCCCTGACCTTTAAAAAGGAGAAGAGTCAAAGACTTCATGAATCCCTTGTGACTGACGCTGATTTTACAGGGCAAGCATAAAAGAGACAGGTAGTAGCATAAAACCTGACCTATAGATGTGGGTAACTGCAGCAGGCAGAGCCCTGTTGGAGCATTCATCTAGAAAACTCTCTGCTTTCTCTCTTCTTTGTTTCTCCTGAGCTACTGATTTATCTCCCTTGAATGCCGCTTTCCACTTTCTGAAGCTGGGATGTGCACATGGTGTGCCTGAAAGCCTTCAAAGAGACAATGAATATTTTCTTGGTGTGACTGCAGCAAAGCACAAAGGACCCACTTTCAAAAATATTTTAAGACCACAATTAAGCTATGCATGGAAGAGTAGGAAGGTTTTGATTTGCAATTGTATGCTCTGGGGCTCTTGCAAACAGAGGTGCTGCTTTCAGATTTTGGCAAAGATTTTAATACCAGATGCTCCCGGGTCTTCATTGTATGAATATCATTACTGAATTGATAATACCTGCTTTAAGGATGTTGTGAATATGTCAACAGAGGTACCCAATCCTTTCCTGGAAATTTTTAGAGTTGCACTGAAAAGCAAGATTTTTGCTGTTCCTGAAAACTGGTCTAGAAGAAATGCATATGCTTTATAAAACATACATGTTTTACCCATAAACAAGTTAGACACTACATACAGTACACCAGGGTTTTAATATCAAGCCTGATTGTTCCAGGGAGCTTTCTTTACTGGTCTGGTTTCCTCTCTGCTCAATGCCCCGTTTGACATTTTCAGCACACTCAGAAATCCTCTGTGCTCACAGCTCCTAATGAAGTCAATGGGGGACACGGGACACACTAATGGTGACTACTTTGAGGAGCAGCCTCTTCAACCCTGCCTGAAAAATGTATAAAGAAAATGCCTGAGAGTGCCAAAAGCCCCATGTTCCTTTACAGATATATGAGCACACATGCAGAAACAAGCAGCTCATGCCTGAATTGGCAAAGATAAAGCATTTGTAGTTTGGGTTTTAAAATTCACATACTTGAAAATACTGAGAATGTTAGTAGTTGTTTCAGAGCTGTAAGTAAGACAAACATGACGTCCTTGTCAAACTGTATGTTCAGATGATTTGTTTGAAACCAGCCGTTTGTGTACTGTGCTGCATTAAATTTGTGGAGAATAATCAAAAGCTGGAATTGAAAGCTGTTTAGAGCTCTTGAAGCAACAGTAATGGCAACAGGGATAGGCTGCAGTCCTATCAGATTTTACGTTTGCTATTTTTTCTGTCACTGTAACCACGGTGCACAAGTTCAAGGCAACGTGCTGAAACTTTCTGATGAGACAGATACATCAGCTGTACAGTACAAAGGTGTAATACAGGATCACAAGCCAGCTTCAGCTTAGCATTTCCTTTGTTTCCTATGTATTCTTTTTGATAGACATGACAGAACAATTGCATTTTTTATAACACTGCACATAATCATCATCAGCATTTAAGACATAATTTGAAACAAAAGAAGAAGCCCCTAAATTCAACATCACTGTTGCAAATATCACATGCTGTTTTCAGTTTTGAAAAAAATCTTCTGTAGCACAATGAATTTTACTGAGGTGAGTATTTTAGGTGCCTGCTAAGAGTGAGTGTTGTCTTTGCTGAG